GAAAAAGAAAAAACAAGGGCAGATTGAAACCATTAAATTTCTCATTCTTCTTTGAACTCCACCTCCACTGTGCCTCTCACGTGCAAGGCTCGCCATATATATCGTCAAATAGATCACTGAGGAGGTGATGGCGAACAGATGCATGGAAAATGGACCATACGATCTCACAATCGGATGTTGATGCATGTCATTGAAATCATGTCCGTCTAACCCAAAAAACAAAAAACAAATAAACATTTGTCCCGAGCTGGTTTCATGGCGTTTTGGTCATTTCTCATTCCAAGAGCGTATTCTTTTTCTTTGCTACTCTCTCTCTCTCTCTCTCTCTCTCTCTCTCTCTCTCTCTCTCTCTCCACGAAAGCCGTCCACCAAAACGAAGGTCTCCCAACACTGCGCCGAACGAAGGAGCGTAACGCGCGGAGGCAAATGCGACACTGTGGGAATGGCCTGCGACAAGCCCTACCAGGGGATGTGAGCCCACCCTGCCAACCGGGCCCTTCAAAAAGAGACACCGGCCCACACCTGCTGGAGAAACACGATGAGATTCGAACCCCTCACATGAAAAGCAAATAAAAAGAAGCGCTTCTGCGACAGACAAACAAAATGTTGGCCCGGCTAAATGGCACAACGTTGGACGTCTTGGGCCCACCAGGGAGCATCTTGCAAGACCCGCTCCAAAGTTTAGGTGTTATAGTAAAAGAAAGAAAACGACCTATCAGCACCTCTAGCATCACCTCTGTCTGCCTAAAAAAAAAAAAAGAGAAAAAAAAAAAAAAAAAAAAAAAAAAAAAAAAAAAAAAAAAAAAAAAAAAAAAAAAAAAAAAAAAAAAAAAAAAACCGACCTGGCAGACAGCTGCAAAAACTCTGTTGCCTGTTCACCTTGCCTATTGATGTGTGCAAAGTTAACTCACAGTGATTCACTGCTTGGCAGCTTCAGATTTTCACGAGAAAAAGGCAACAAAAGAACAAGCTAGCAACGCCTTACTCTGCTGTTGCTATGAAACAAAAGCTGGGCCATTATTATTCTGTCAGGCCGAAAAAGAAAGGACAAAATATGGAAAAAAAGAAGATGGAAAAGAGAAAAAATCACTGTCAGTGAACACAAGAAAGCAAAAATAAAAAGGAAAAAAAAACTCGGCACCTTTATAATGGGGGTATTATGATGCAAATAACAGTGCAAAAAACCAGGCACCCCTCTAATGGGGGTATTATTATGCAAATGACAGTGCCTGGGTTGTATGCTACGCTGCACAGTTGAGTGACAGGCTTTCTCAAAGTTTCTCTAATTGATTTAAGCATAGATCCCATCCCATGACAGTCATCGGGGAGTCCATTCAGTTGGGCACTGTGCGGGGAAAGAGGGAGGGGGAGAGGAAGGAAGGCAGGGGGAAGGGGTGGGGAGGGATTCAATAGTGTACCTTGCAAGTTTGAGAATGAAAAATAAAGGTCCACATCTGCACGACCTGTACCTGTACTTCACAAGAGGAATCACGGTCTAAAGAGACGGTCTGAGCCAAGTGGTGCGATGTTCATGGTTGGAAAGCATGAACCTGACCTTATCAATGGCTGGTTGCGTGCTTCCCAAGTATTTCCAACCATGAACCTGACCTTATCAATGGCTGGTTGCGTGCTTCCCAAGTATGAACGTAGCACCACTTGCGCCTGGCACAATCGTCGGTCGGCGGCGGTGTCGAGACGGAAGGGAGGGGGGTTGGGTGAAGGAATGTCCTGTCTTCAGGTTATGCGCGCGAAATGACGGGACATTTGACTTGTATATTCACTATGAGAATGCAGTGCCACAATTCAGAGACATCACAAGCTTGAAGAGTAAGTCGCACACTCTCCACGTTGTTGGAAATGTCGGGGGAAGGAAGCCGGGAGGAGGGTGAGGTGCTGGGGGGAGAATGAGTTATTTTCAGTTTATCAAGGAGAAAGAATCGGAGATCCTGGAGAAGAAAGGGCTGTGCTCTGCTCACATCTGTGTGTGCCCAGCACCTGCACCTCCACCTGTACTTCAGAATATGGATGTGCCGCCCAAATCCAGCAAAACCCAAACGCTCTAACGTTAGCTCGCACTCTCTAGCCGATCGATGCCCTGGACTTCCCATCTGCTCTAGCATGTTCAATGGTTCCGCGTGGAGGTGCTGTTGCTTGAATTCTGAAGCAACCTGGACATGGACTAGGAAAAAACAGCCAGCGTATAATCGCTAGTACCTTTGACGGTTGGGAAAATAGGGAGGCCTCGGGTGGGCCGCCAATCTTATAGGAGGCCGAAACTAAACGAAGGCCGTCGATTCCCTATTTCACCAACACTGCCGGAGGTACTACCGTCTTCACCCAAATAGAACGCCCGGTCATTATAGCTGTGCATTTGGGCCGAGTTGCGGTCCACATACACTGATAATGACAGGGCATTCTATTTGGGTGAAGACGGTAGTGGTTTAAACTTTAAACTTTAAACCCCCAATACCCAACCACGGCTTCGCGGAGCATCTAACAACTCGACATCCCTCATGGTTTGAAGATGCACTCCCTTTCCCAACCAGGGCTTCGCGGCTGTTTAGTAAAATGTCCCTTTCCTCCAGGCACTCTCCCGTAGACTCCTCGTTCAGCCTGTGGTGGTGTCAAACGGTTAGGCTTCGGCGTGGTTTGCACATAATGCCTTTCACTATGAGCAGGAAACTTCCTTCACTGAGGCATCATAAACACAAGGATTTTTCACTTCAGCTGCCGAGATCCGAAGGCCTAGACTGTGTCAACACACATAAGCCACAGCTGGTGATGCACTGCCTCGATGTCTTTGCAGCAAATCCAGATGAGTGGAGAATGTGTGTGACGCACCTACCTACTTTCCCACCATCTTGTTTGCCGCCCCCTTCCTTCCCCGATGAGCAGGAGACTTCTTTCGCTGAAGCGTCATACACAGAAGGCTTTCACTTTGCCTATCGAGATCCGAAGGCCTAGACTGTGCCAACAACACGCGCAGGCCACAACTGTTCTTTGCCGCAAATCCAGACGAGTGGAGAATGTGCGTGACGCACCTACGTACTTCCCCACCATCTCGTTCGCCGCCCCCAACCCTTACACACTCTTGCTTCTTGTGGTTCTATCCCGCAAGTTGCAGCAACTAACAGGAAAAGGCAGGTCTTCTGAAAATGTGTGCAATCCGTTGAGTGAAGCTGAGCCGCCCGGAAAGCCTGAAAATTGAAAAGGGGAATGCAAAACTGTGGGAAGGAATAGCGAGAGAGGCCGGCCAGTTGGTGGTACCAGGAGACAGCTGAGAAAGGATGGCGGGGTGATGGAGAAGGGCGATGAGAAGGAACACACGGGAGCGGGGAGAAGCGACACTTGTTTGGAGGCGCAATGTGAGACTTACTTCTTTTATTTCGCTCGTTTTACCTGCAAACAATGTGCTTGTCAAAGGTCCCTGAGTTGCACAGGAGGGGTTAAAACTTAAAACTGCATTAAGGAACATGAACTATGCCACACAGCTCCGGTGCTTTGAAAAGTAGAAGCGGCAAAAAAAGCAAGGCACTTATATCTCATACATAGCCGAAAGATCGGCACCAAAGAATGACTGTGATTGAAAAGGCAGGCAGGCAGGCAGGCAGGCATGACGACCACACCCCCTTACATTCCATTTAAACTTTAGACTTCATAGGGAAAATTTTGAACATAAAAAACAACACAGGGACCTTTGAGGATTCTTCAGCTACAAGAGCCCTCTGATGATGTATGCGGAACCAGCGAGGGTAAAAGAACAGAAAAAACAGAAAAAACAGAAAAACAGAAAAACAGAAAAGATGAAGACCACGGGCAATTGAGAAGAAGACGTAGAGATGACACAAGTCGATTGATTCTCTCCTGAGACAGTTAAACAAGTAGATCTGCCAAGGCCACATTTATACAGCAGAAGCAACCTACACACATGCATCACAGAGCATATGCCAAAAGCCTCAAGGTAGAGGAGCTTCACGCTGATGATTGGTCAATTGGTTGTTGCGCAATCTGACTTTCCTAAAAAGGTAAAATGAATATCTAATTGGGGCCCATTACTGGCACACAACTTTACGAACAGAGTATTCCTATTCATACCCCCATGCATTTGGCACAACTGGCACATTACTTTAGGGAAAGACTTCCGAAAGTATAGCTGTGAACCCCGTACGTAAGATGCTGTGCCTCCAGCTGATACCCTTTGTTGTCCGCCTTGTTCCTGCCCACGTTGCCGCCTACTTCTCCCCTGTCCTTTCCTTGTCTTCCACCTCCCGTGTCCTCACCTGCCCCTTTAACCCACACCTTTTCCTCCACTTTTACCTTTTCCTTCTTCCACCTTCCCAGTTCACCTTCTCACCC